GAAAATGTACTGCATTTGTAGAGTGCATAATTTGTTAAGCATTTAGAATTTGGGCCATATGAACCATGCAAAATATTTGTACATCTGTTGCTCCTACAAAACCCTTAATTTGCATATTTACACATGCAAACTGATTTAATTTTCTCATTTACTGGCTTACACACACAATTTGTGCACATATGTTTTGTATAGCTTACCTGTTGATCAGATCTTTGAAAATTTGGCCTAACACCTCAGTATCTTAACTAGTTACATGTTTTTTTCCTTCCAAAATAGAGAGACAATTATCCATTCTGAAAAACAACTAAATCTAGTTTACTCACAAACACTAGAGATCCTTGAGGTATATTTAAAACATACAAAAGCATACTAACACATACTATATTTTCATATGAGACGTCAAATTGAAACATGCAGAGGCTTGATGTATAGAAACATATTAAAAAGGATGAAAAACCAATGACTGGCATTCTTACTGGCACTAGCACTAGCAACTCAAAACAGCCACGTAGATTTGTGTTGGAGGAAGGAATAATTGCCTCAGGATTTATAGGCTGAAAATTTGACTGCCAACTTTTAGCTCTTAAGTTGCAAATTGTAGCCAACTTAATTCTAAACTAACCTCATCCAGGATTTATATTGACTACACTGCCAGAACGGCACAAATGGTGCATTACAGCTTTGTCTATATCCTACATGTATAAAAGCAAAATTATTAAACTGGTGTAAATTCCCATAGCTTCACTGACTTCAGGGCAGACTTCACTGAAATCAATGGAGCTGTGGGAATTTACATCAGCTGACGATTTACCCCTCAGGATTTCACCAAACTTTAAACTAATAGCACTTCACAGTCTCTGTTTTGACATCCCCTTTAAGTTTATTTCATAGAGTTAGATTATTTTCTTTTTCTCCATATGAAAATTAATAGGTTTTCAGTTTCAAGATCTGTCACTTTGAGAATTCAGGGTCCGATCCTGCAGTCTTCTTCAAGGGTGACAGTTTCTTATGAGAGAGGACTCCAGGATCAGGCCCTTATTTTGCATATCTGAAAACAACAACATGTAGGTCATGTTTTCTAGAAGGATTGCCCAGTGAAAATGGATAAACGCAAAGTTGTTAATCCTACAGACTTTATATGTAGCTTGGGGTGGTTTTGCACTGGGGAGGATTATTGTAGCATGAGACTTTTTGCATCCCAAAAGCAAAGGTCCATATTTACCACCAGTACACTCTGCCTGCTTTGCACTACTCTAGGGATGCAAAACAGCTGTAAGCTTGGCTTACTTGACTGTAAAGCCAGGTGTCCAGCTGCTCTGTGCCACTGATGTGGCACAAAGCAGCTGGCACGTACCGCTGAACTTGACACAAAATGCTTTAAGAAGTGTTTAAACACTCCAAATGCAGACTGCAAAGTATTCATAAAAAATAGTATAAGAACATTAATATTTCAGTGCCAGAGTTGAGGTTTCCTGTCACAAACCACAAATGAGGCACTCATTAGATTGCAACCAGAAATTCTAACTCCTGGTACAAAATGATCAGCAATTCAATTTCTTATTCTCAGTTCTGAAAATGAGAAGGAAATAATGGGGACCACTTCTTGGGTATTAAAGATTGTACAACATATTGGTCAGGACACACAGGCAAATAAAACACAGACAACAGGGATGGATAGTAAGCAGCAGGCTTCAAGTGTGGCAGTTGGAAGGGGCACAATCCACCCACCCCCTCACATACCAGGCATTTTACTTAGTTCAGTATGGAGGTAAATAGCCACACACCAGCTAACCAATAATTCAGAGCTGACTCACTTTAGCCTAACTTTACAACTCAGCCCACCCCTGAATCTTCTCCCTACCCCACACACACTCAAGGGGGGATGAGGGTTACCTCAGTCTCAGAAGACATAGTGTTCCTTTCTTCAGATATACAAAAATGACAATTAGTTATATCCTGGGCCTTTTACTCAGATTTACCTCCAGGAACTGACTTTTAACTTTTATCTGTATTAGACCCAAGACACAAGAGGTGACAAACTAAATAAATATTTGTATTCTCATTCCTTTTCACCTAAAACTGGTCTTCCATGATGCTGCAAGGAAAGTGACCCTCCCATCCTTGACATCCTGCCAATTTGGCCCTAACGGAAAAAACACTTTCCCAGTACAGAAGATACAATAAGTCAGAGCCACAGTATCTAGGAAACTGAAATCAATAGTATCTCAACAATAGGAAGGGGGGGGCAGCAATAGCCTCAAGATGGCCCCAAGACTTATGGGGCATCATTCCATTGAAATGAGGGTGCCTGTAAGAGCTCATTGGCTCCCTCTATTCCCCTATCACTCCCACTGACCAATGAGAAGCAGAGAACCCCTTCTCTCTCCTTGAGGGACATTCCCACCTTCATTCTGAGGCACCTGGGAGAGTGGGGACTAAGCTCCTGCGTGTCTGAGCACAAGCACTTCCTCTCCTATGCCTCTCTGGAACCAGGGGTTGGCCATCCCCAAGCTGGTCTAACCAAACCTCCCTCCAGCTAAGGTGAGGAGTGGCATTGTAATAACAACTGCCCTACTGATTTCATCTGAAGTATGTTTTTCCTTTATCAGTCAATGCATCATTGTTATTTGTTCAAGAGCTTTCAGTAAAATGGAGCAGACCATCAGCTGGTGTAAACTGTTATAACTCCATTGAAGTCAGTGGACCTCTCATTTAACTGAAGAAAATTAGTCTCAGGAATCCAGCTACATTAAAATGATTTAAAACTATTGCATACAGAAGCATGAATTGTTTTAAAATTACATATAAGAATTTAATACATCCAATGAGTTGTATGTACATGTGAATAATATTTAAAAAGTCACTGTGACTCACTCTAGGCCTTACACATATATGAAAACTGTGTCTATATGCTCCAATCACATTTTAGTTCCAATCTGTCCTTACTTCAGCATGCCTGAATAACTCTCATTAAAGGTAAGAAAAGTTATGCAAGCAAACTGAGGGAAAGTGTGTGTGAAGATTTTTTTTAATTGGTGCTTCTAAATAACAATTATATTTGTTACTATAATAATCAAGTTTTAAGCCTGTGTGAATTCAGACCTTATATGACTTGACAGTGTCTCTGTAATACACTTTGAAAGTATAGGGAGGGTTCATTTTGAGAACTATTGTGATGAAACCTCTGCCATAATAACTATGTAAGGAGTAACACACAATATGGTGTGCAACTGCTGTGAGATAACTGTATGCTGTGGGTGAACACAGACACACAGGCTGCCAAGACTTGCTATCATCTCATTATCTCCCAACAATCCCTCTCTGTGAAGTGTTATTCCACTTGGAAGGCTGCAAGACTGACTATTTGTGAGAGGAGAAAATAGTTAGCAAAGCTAAGTAGTTTCAAGCTGTGCCCTGCAGTTGTTTGTCCATAATTGCAAAGATTGGAACCTTAGTTTCCCCCATTCTAATAATACTTCTCACATTTATGGGAAGATATCAAGGCACTTTATCAACATAAAGTCCTTATGAGGTAGGTGTGCCTATTTCCACTGAAATAGTGTAGGGCCTGATCCTGTAGCATTTATTCACATGAGCAGAGTAATCCCACGGAACCTAATTTTTGGAATGGTCCGCTCTGTCTGAACCAGTGGCAAGGAGGTTGCAGGCACTTTGCACTGCAGCAAACCTCATCCAGGTAGACTTTGCCTCTGGTGATTCTGTGCCAAGGTCTGTACTAGAAGACACTGCTACAGAGCCTGAGCGAATCTGGTCCACAGTGTATTAATGAGAGCACACAGAACAGTATTAAAGCAAATGTAAAACAAACCCACAGCTATTATACACATTATAATCAATGGGCAATCAGAAAAACAGAAGAGGGAAGGAGAAAAAAATAAACTGATTAGAACATTGGGTGGTACTCTTTTTTCTTTAACCATTATCTTCAAATGAACAAGCCATAGGATTTTCTTTAACTGCCTGTTCGCAGCAGGGCATTTCAGAGCCTAGACATTTCTTAGGTTCATCAGCTTCTAAGAATACGTGTCTTTTGCCATCCAAAATAATCTGAAGTTTTTCAAGGTAAAGTAACACCATTTCTGCTCAAAACTTCAGAAATTCAGACTATAAGCAATCAAATTTGTGTCTGATTACTGCCCCTGTTATCTTGCTACCCAGGGCTTCTAGAGATCCACAAATCCAAAAGGGCCATGGGCTGTGATTTTGTCAGCTCTCATAAGAAAATAAGGTTGGGCCTGGCCAGCACTGTGAGAGGAGACCTCAAAGGACAAAAAACACTGTATGGACCACATATCACATGTGCACTGGGCAGCAGTCACTCTTTCACCGGCTCATTGGTTGAAGTGGGGGTTAAAAGTGATCATACTCATTTTATTTTAAATTGAATGGTGCAGCAGAACACATCTATTCCCAGATCATTGTACTCATAGAAAATGCATTCCCTTGACTACTGAATTAAGGGCCAGATGCTCCGATATATGGGGAAAAAACTCATAGGGAGAAGAAGACCCTGTGAATTTCAGTGTGCAGCATTTCCTCTTTATTGTTCCATCAGGGAAAGGGGCCAGGATTGTCACCACAGAGCCAGGTGAGAGTTGGGCTCTCTAAAGAAGTGGGCAAGAGGCAATAATTAAGCTTTGAAGGGAGGACATATATGGGGACTCCCTGGGAGTGGAGTATTATGCAACTCGGCTGGCTCTTTCTCCTTTCTGTGCTGTGCTACCAGCTGCTTGGGTTCCCTTCTGCTTCTGTAAGTTGAGAGAAGAATCTGGCCTTAAGAGTCAGCCTGTTGTGCATAGGAGGAGATCTATAATTCAATGCTCTCATTACAGAGGAGGATCCATACACTTTTGTAACAAAAAAGGGTTAAGTAGAACAAAATCATAAGGCTCTTGGGAGTTATTAATTATGAAGAGAACATAAAGGTACTTTTTATAACTGTTTAGTGAACTAGAAACAGAAGAAATAAAGGTACTTACCATCCACCCTTGTTCACCTGGTTTTCCTGGCTCTCCCTTAAAAAACAAATTGGATTTATATCAATAATGTTATTTACATTCACTCTAGGGTGACCAGATGTTCCGATCTTTAGGGACATTCCCGTTTTTTGGGACTTCTTCTTATATAGGCGCCTATTATCTCCCACCCCCTGTCCTGTTTTTCACAGTTGCTATCTGGTCACCCTAATTCACTCCCTGCTTAGTAACATTAAAATGTCTATTAACTACATTACACCAAAATACCTACTGAAGCACGTGACAGCTGCATGGATATATATATTATTATGATCACTGGCTGCTAAAATGGCAGGTAAAAATTCTTCCTGGTAACATGATGGGCTTCAAAGAGTTGCTAGTTGTTTTTCAATCTTTTAATGGGATAATTCTCTTAATTCAAGATCTCTTAAGTACCAAATATCCTGTCTTCCAGTTCTAATGAACAGACAACAGTCCTTCCCAGCAAACTGCAGTTTTAAAGGAAAATGAAGTAATGTTGTTTTGCATATGTATCCCAAGACCTGCTTTTTTTGTCATTCAAAGTAATTTACAGCTACACTTGAGTAGGTTTATAAATGACTTTGCAAAGTAAGTGATGTTGTGGCCATGTCGGTTGCAGGATATTAGAAAGACAAGGTGGGTGAGGGAATATCTTTTACTGGACCAACTTCTGTTGGTGAGAAAGACAAGCTTTTGATCTTAGCTCTGTGTAAGCTTGAAAGCTTATCTCTCTTACCAACAGAAGTTGGTCCAATAAAAGAGATTCCCTCACCCACCTTGTCTCTTTGCAAATTAATGCTTTGCTAAAAAAAACCTAGGCTTGATATTTTCAAAGCCACACCTCTCCTATTAATTTCTATGAGAGTTGTATTGATAAATCCCATAGTTGGCTTTGAAAATCTCAACCTAGAATTTTTCCAAACTCGGTCTCACACTGAGTAGGTCAGAAGAGGAATTACTGTTCTGCTGACTGATAGGAACCTTTTCATTTGCTCTGCAGTGGTAAAGAAGACACTCTATTTTGTGTCACAAAACTGATGGGTTTTATCTAATCTTATTAGATGTAAAGGAGGCAAAGCAGAGACAGAGTTGCTTCAAACTTTCTCAGAGCATGCCAGAGGCACCCAATTTAAATGACGCTAGAGTTTCAGAAGCACGTTGTTGTATTCTGGGACATAAATACTGAGAAAGCCCCAGAGTAGCTGCAGTGAAACCTGATTTCTCATTCCATTCCCTTCTGAGGATGCATGCGGTACTGAAACTTAGGTGTTGGTGCAACTGTCCAATATGGCTGTTTCACGTGGGAAGATAAGATAAGGCCGGTCCATCATTGGCCAGTTTTCTTTTAAATACACGTAGTTGCAGAGGAGGGCACATTGCTGATCTCATTAACGGTTGCTCTAGTATGGAGTTTGCTGATGGTGGAGGGGTCTGTGTCTTCTAGCCTGGAATTCTGCAGTGTCTCTTTTCTTACACTCTCTAATCACTGCTTTGTTGGATGTGTGAGACAAGGAAGATGAATCTTCAGCTCAAAGATCCATTTGTATTCAAATATCAGAAACAAAGGTGTCAGTCAGGAAGAGGCCATGTAGCCCCTTTATAACTCTTTCCTGTCTGACTAAATATAAATCAGTCAGCCACAGAAGAACAAGCCCTGGTGTCAGGATGCCAGGGATTCATTGAGCAGAAATCAGGAAATGTCATTCCCATGAGCCCGAGGGCTGAGTTTATGTCTGCTCTGGGAAGAGGGCAGCCTCAGCCAAATACATACAGCAGTAACTAGTGAGGGAGCGCTTATCTCTGAATTGTGGCAACCTCTGCTGCTGCATAACTTGGGAGACCCACAGAATTTAACTAGGTCATCATCTGACTAGGTCCAGTCCTGCAAGGTGCTGATTCTGCAAAGTTCCACTGACTTCACTGGGAAACCCACTTAGGCTTTTGAAAAATCCCACTAGGTGCCTATCTGCATCTTTTTAGGCACCTGAATACATTTGAAAATCTGGCCCTCAGGACCCTAAATAAAATATAAGAAAACACTGATGTTACATACACCTGAACAATATCTAAATGGTTTATTTACACAGAATGCTAGAAAAGGAAATGGAATAGTTCTCAGACATTCTAGCTTTCTCTGACATTGACACACTGTCGCTAAATTGTTCCATCTTTGATGAATGCTTTGCCACTGGGTAGGAAGCAATTTGTGCATATAGTAAATGGTTGCTGCAGGTAACTATTCTCAACTGTTATTTTTGTGCGTGTCAACTTAGTGTTTGTTAAAAGTGCCGTATTGACTGCCCTAGGAATTGAAGGCCTTTATCCACAGGTATAGAGGAGTATAAGTGTAAGGTTTCACAGACTGTCCCATTAAAGTGCCTTCACTGTGGCTTGTAAGGACTGCAGAAATAAAAGGGTAAATCAGTCCCTGTGCCTACTTATTCTCATTCTGCTCCCTTTGCAAAAATCAAGTCACATTATAATCAGTCTCGCTCTCCATCATTGTTGACCTTCCCCAGCCTCTTGTGCATTATCCAGAGAAAATTATAGTATTGGAGTCAGACAGAGGATTCTGATCTCACTTACACAACTGTAACGCAGGAGTAACTCCACTATGTGAGTGGAGTTGTACCAGGGGAAGGGATATCAAAATGAAGTCCAAAGTTTCTTTTTGACAATGCAGGGATAGTGCATCACTGGCAGAAGTGAATGGGTGGCTGAGATGAACCTTAAAGAATGGAAGGCAGCAGATGTATACAACCTTTCACAGTGTTCTTCTAACCAAAGGTTTTCAAGGCAACTCTTGCAAGGTTTTTTGGACTCAGACTTCTAAATGCCAGGTCTTGTTGGGTTTTCCAAAGAAGTTTTAATAGAGCTGAACTATTATTGTTAAGTTATGTTCTATAATTTTATACAGTTAATATAATGTAGGATGAGGCACTCAGAATGAGATCAGAACATGAGCTTGGATGTATTTTCCTTTTGGTTTTACTTTTTACCAAAAAAAGGACTCTTTAGGAAACGTTTATGTCTTTCTGCCCTGGCCTCACATGTGGAACCATGAATTTTCCTTTACAATGTTGATTTTATGTCCTATAGGACTATGAAAATGGAAGTGTGTGTGGGGGGGTGATATCCTTAAAATAAACCTAAAGAGTTTAGTACATCACAAAAATGTAAAATCATGAGCATTTCCAAGACTTGTTAAAAATAGGGCCAAGTGACTTTTGTATTTATGTTTTAATTTAAAAAAGTTTTGTCAGACCTCCAACAATAAAATGCCAAAAAGCTAAAGGTCTGATTCTTCCTCCCAAACAAATGATGACTGTGAGTACCGCCACTGAAATGTATGGGACTTTCTGAGGAGCAGTATACTGCTCAACTTGAGTATGGATGGCAGAATCAGGCTCTGAGAATAGTGTACAGAGTTTAATAATCTGTTTCCTCTAATTTCATTTTTTAAAAATATTAATCGTCATTAGGGAACCAGAAGTCAAATCAAACACACAATAACCTAGATTCAAGTTTAGCTTTAAGTGAGGGGCTGTGTGGAAACATTCTATTCTTATTTGCAAAGAGGCTGCCCAGCACTGCAATAATTAGAATATCAGGGAACAATTCAGAAAGGTCAGGAACCGGGGGAAGCAATTTTCACGACTGGGAGTCATGATATCTGGATGCTGTTCCCAGCCCGGCTACTTACTGACTGTGTTGCCATAAGCATGTCATATAACCTGCCTATGGTTCCGCTTTCCATTGATAATATGTGAATAATAATATTTCCCATCCCACAGGAGTGTTTCTGAGTTTAAATTTATTCATGCTTGTAAAGCACTCATATACCACAGTGATGCCACTATATCCTCTAGGCTAACTCACCGGTACTCCAGGCATCCCTCGGGGGCCATCTTTGCCAGTGTCTCCTGGAGGACCTCTGGGTCCTGGTGGCCCTGGAGGACCAGGGGGTCCAGCTTGTCCTTGATCACCCTGAACAGGAGTCAACAAAATCATCATCAGAAAGTTGTTTTCAGATGTACAAAGCCCCACAAAAAGGCACCGATTTACCTATAACAAGTTCCTGATGGGCTGAAATAGCTGCTCTGAGCAGGATGCTTACTTTGATCATAGATGGAGATGGGTCTTAAACAGCTTCTTCATTTCTTATGGCAGAGATTGCACTTTGCCTCAGAAGACTAGTGTGCTGCACCTGTACGGTGCAACCAGCCAATACAGTCACAAAGAGTGAGGCTCAAGTTCCGAAACTGCGTGTCCAATAGCAGGATTTACACTGATGGTTAGTATTGCCTTGCAAAACTCTACTCACCCAGTTTCCCAAAGCAAGTAATTGATTTGGAAGAGCAGGTATAATTTTCACTTTGTGATCATCATGATCATAGATTCATAGCAAAGACTGAGTGAGTAGGTTTGTCTGAGAGTTGTTATATTTTCAAAGTAATTTTGCAAAGCTCAACAATTGAGCACTGGTAGAATTCTAAAATGATGGTGAAATATAATTGCCTTGCTGAAAAGTTGCATACTATATTTTATCTGTTTTCAGTAGCAGTTTGATAATGATAAGTAAGTGGCTACTTTTATGATTTAGATACACTGATTTTGCAATAACTTAATTTACAAATTGTCAAAACACATTTCTTTCCTTTAAAAAAATAGCATTTTTTATTCAGTTTCCAGAAAGCAAACTACTGTAAGAAGCCTCACTGGCTGAATTTTAACTATGAACTTTTTAGCAAAGCTTTGTGTAGTTTCCACTGCTATTTTACACAAACACATTTCACGAAAAATGATTTGGCTCCAAGACATTTTTCAGATTAATTACCCACTAAAAGAAGGCTTATGACAAAAAGTACAGTATAGAGTAATATTCAAATGTAAAGAAGAACCAGACTCCAGTGAGATTAAGCACTACCTTAATGAGGCGGCGTTTAATGAGCTGCTGATCAGCAGAGAGAAACCCATGATTGATTTTAGGAAACACCATCTGATCAGGCAGGTGAGGTCAAAGGTTGAAGTTCAGAGATGAGAGAGTTGAAGAATAGACATCAGAAGGCCCCAAGAAAGAAATAAAGATATGTACATTAGATTTATAATAGCTAATATAATATAAACTGGTGCTTGTGTCTGATAAAATCTGTGCCTTTTCTTTTAAAGGAGTTAACATCTAGATTGACAGGATACAAGATAGAAGCTTTGTTATTTATGGATTGATTGAAGGTAACATAACACAAGTTTTCTTCCCAGCAAATCTTCTAGGCATCTCTGAGTTCATCAACATTTTATAATCCTAGGGCTATAAAATCAGCACATTTCTTACATGGTGGTCCTTCAGCAAAGATTCCATAGACAAAGCACCAATTCAATTTTCAGTCAGATTTTCCAACCAGCATATTGTGCCATGAAGAATGGTTCCATTTTAATGATATCTGAAGTCCAGGCATACCTAGACTGTTTAAATCCTTCCGGCTTCATTTACACATTTTTCAAAGTGTATCTGCAAGGGTACAGTTTAAACTACTGGTGCATGACACATAAACAGATAATTGAATCTGCCTGTGCTCATTAGGTGCCTGATGAACAGTACTTTGACATTTTCCATACTCCTGTATGTCTTAATAAAGCACGGTTATAACAAAACTTCATCTACAAACCAAAATGCCCTTCCAGAGTATGTGTGATGTGGATGCTAGGGTAGGTACTAACACACACAGAACTGGATTCTAATCTCACTCACGCTGTATCTCAGGAGTAATTCCACTGGAATAAGTGGAGTTACAGCATGAAACCCGAGTGTGGTGAAATCAGAATTAGGCCCATAATAAGTAAAATGGGCTAATTGGTATCCCATGGCAAAATTAACTATTCATGCGCACTCTTATGCTGATAGAGAGACCTGACTGAACTGGTACATGTCAGGCACAAACCTTGACGGTGAGGATCTGATTACTGTGCAGAGCAGCAACTGTGGGGAAGCCTGGCAGACCCTAGGGACACAACATAACATGGGACCAAAACAACACGACACAAAACATCACACGGACAATTTACTAATGGACAAACAGAACAAACACTGTGTTTAGTACATCCCACTGCCTATCAACAGCTCTGTCTGTCATATGGGAAACAGAACTAGGTGTAAGCAATATATCAGAGATTTGGCTGATTATTTTGAATAAAGAACATAAAGGAATTTTAAAGAGAAAAGCCACTTAGCAGTATCAAATATTATTATGGATAATTATGAACATTTGACATCTGTTAGGCTACAGTTGGCTGAGGTGTAAGCCATTTTCAACCAACATATGTTATAGTACTTTTAGAGAGGTACGTGTACAAAGCTCTGCCAAGAGATCACTGCGAAACTTGAAAGACTGAGAGCAGATCCTGAAATGACTTTGAATTATTATGCCTTTAATAGTCTGTTTAACATATGACATTCAGCACATAAACTGATAGTATATACACAATAATACACATTGAACAACGGTCTTCTGCTAGACCAGGAGTAGTCAGATGGCTGAGTTCAACATTCTTGACATATACAGCAGTATCTCCACCTTCAGGACAAAAATTCTCCTCTCAGATCCCCCATGGTGGATCTAGCCTCTCATATTCTACTCTCCCTGCATGTGCAGGACTCTCATCGTATTGATGAAGGAAGAGAAGAATACCAGAGTTGGAACCAACTGAGAGGATGAGAGAGGTGAATTCTGCACCCAATTTACACCTTTCCAGTATTGCATTGGAGGGTGGGAGTTAGACCTGTTAACAAAGGAAAAAGGCCTCTCTCTCTCTTCTACAGTTGATCGGTATATTTTAAACAAAAACCTCTTCTATCCTGTAGCACAGTATATTATCTAAAGCATCTCAAGGCACTTTTAACCTGACAGAGGCTGTAAGCCACAGCAGGATTTTTTAACCATTATAAATAGCTGTATACCACTTCTGTTTCCGCCCCCCTTTTGAGCACAGTGATTTAAGATTTTTCTTTATAAATAAAGTCATAGGAATTTTCTAATGCATGTAGCATTTCTCCAATGGTACATTTAAATCACATCTTAAGAACTGGGATGTGACACTCCTCTCACTTTGATTTCATACCGAGGTACCTCTATTGACTTCAGTGGAGTCACTCCTGATTATACCAGTGAAGTGAACAGAGACTGACCCTAGTACTGTAGTGCAACAATACAAAGCAAACTTTATTGGCCTTGCTACTTTCTGCTACGTTTAGGGTATATAATTTTTGAAAGAACAGCATCATCCTCTTTTTTATGTTTTTTAAACAAGCTAAAAACATCTAAACACACATTGCTACCAGACACAGGAATGATGCATAATTTTGAAAACAGATGTATTTAATTTGCATTTGTCTGATTATGGAATATGAGTTTAAAAAGTTATTAGATGGTAATATGCCAGAATCTTTACATCTGTGACTCATTAGCTCTACTATGCACATGGTCCATTCCTTTTCTTGACAAAACTACAATCCTTATGTAATGAAAACAGGTACAAACAAAAAGCCAACAAAAGACCTAAACCCTGAATAGCAGTGATAAATATTAAACCTCACTTATTAGAAAAAGGATAAATAGAAATCTTTTAACAGCTTCAGTTTTACTCCGTAGGCTATACAATTACAACATGATAATGCACAAATTTTCATAGTTAGCTCTGAATAGAATAGGCTTGAAATTTGGCAATTTTTAAAATATTAATGGAAACTCATATCAGTGTTGATTTATTCCCTTCTGAATATGAACCAGACCTGTGGATGAAATAGAAAAGGAGATTTTGCTCTGAAAAGATGCCATTCTGCTCAAGTCAAGAGCTCTGAAAGGCTCAGGCTTGTGAAAATTTTGTGCAGCCCTCTAAAAAGGTTCATCTGGAGCTTTGCACATACCCCTCTGGCATACTCAACCCCTCTGAAGCTACATCAACAAAATAAGGAGTAGTTATCAAGACTGCAGCTATTTGTGTGTACAAACACATTGGGGCATGAGAGAAACTCCCTTTTTAACATTAGTTCAGGACCAGATTCTGATTTGTTCTTATGAAAATGTGCAGTTGTAGGGAAAGGCAAAGATGCTTAAAAGCACAGAGATCGCTCCCTTCCTACTCCCATAGGGGCACAAGGTGCTCCAAAAGTGGGTAGAAGGGAGTGAGGATAATGGTTCATCCCCCACATAGTGTCCTCTGGAGCTAGCCAACCCTATAAAGATATTAGGTGGAGCCTTGTGAAAGTGAGCAGAAATGGGTCTGCATGCCTGGGAGCTCTGGGAGGCATTCCACCTTCTGAGGTTCAGCACACTGAGTCTCTCAAAATTAAAGGTTATAAAAGATCTCTCTTTTTCACAAAATACATTCTCCTCCTTCTTTCATCCTTCGGCTATACATATAACCTTCAAGAGCTCCTAGATCTGTTTGGTTTTTTTTTCTAACTAGAGCTCTTATCAGGGATGGATTCAAAGTTGTTCAGTGATGGATTATTTTGTTTATTTTGTTTGAGTTTTAAAACACACATACAAAGAGCACTCATCCCATACTCTGCATTCCCCTTCCAAAAATTAGGACACCACAATAAGCAACAACTACACTGAACCACTAAGATTCATCGACAATCACAGTCTGAATTCATTCCCATTCCAGAACTCCATTAGCTCACAACATCCAAATATGCACACTGTCACATCCTCATCCCAACCGCTCCACAATAGCCTAAGCAGAACAGGGAGCTTTGGAGCATGCCCACAGCCATGGAATTGCACAGTGCATAGGGCCCTGCTTACCAACTTGGAAACATATATCATGGCTGTACATGTATGGAGGAAACTGAAGAATGTTAGAATTTTCTGATGCTTTTCCTTTCCTCTAGAATTTTCACTCCAATGTAGTAACTGTTCCTGTTATATCCATCATATTGTAGTCTAACTTCTTCAGTGGAGGAATTCCCACCAGCAGTCCCAGAATACATTCTGGTGGGAATACAATACACTCTGCTCATTGTGACAGTCTACATAAGGTCACAACTTATTTAAGATATTTTAAAGACCCCTTCATAATTTTACTGCAGTATTATAAATGCAGTAACAGTATGAAGTCATTATTACTAGCTTTATATAATGCTGCTGCATATACTGTATGTTGACTGTTGGATGGTAAATGTGACAAAGTTTTCATTAGTGAGACAAGGTAGGTGAGGTAATAGCTTTTATTGGACCATCTTTTGCTGGTGAAAGACACAAGCTTTCAAGTTTATACAGAACTCTTCTTCAGGTGACCTGAAGTAAGCTTGAAAGCTTGCCTCTCTCACCAACAGAAGTTGGTCCAATAAAAGATATTACCTCACCCACCTTGTCTTGCTACTATCCTGGGACCAAAGACAGCTACCACACTGCAAACGAAGTCTTGCTCAGGCTTTTTCCTGTGACCTGTCAATAAACCCATGCTGCACAAGCTTACATGTTCCTGTGAAGACATGGTAAATGAGACAGGAATTACCACCTGCTGCTCACTTGCACTTCCTAAGATTACAGCCAGCTGCTGATATTTCACATCAAATCACACAGGCTTCAGGCCAGAGTGATTCTGACACTCTTTATGGCTGACTTCCCTCCCCCACCCACCACCTCAAGGTCTAATTAATCCCTCAGACCAAGTGCCAGTCCTGCAGCTAATTATTGTACCTGCCCTGGGGAATACAGTGTCCAGGATCACTCTGTACTGTGCCACAGACTCTCAGCAGGAGCTCTTTTATACAATCCCTTTCATCACAACTGCTGCTTTCTCCATCACCAGAATTCTGCTAACCTACACAATGCCCTGCAATGAATGACAAGGATTGTGGTTTTTTTTCACATACACAATAATATAACTTTAATTTTAATGTATTATGCCACTGTTAAGAGTTAATATAAACCCAATAAAAACCTGATAGTTAGCAACTAGCACAAACTAATTCTGGCTAGAGATGGGTTGTTA